TATCTATCTATCTATCTATCTATCTATCTATCTATCTATCTATCTATGTTCTTACAGTAGAGTAGAGATGCATAGATGGGGCATGATTTCATGCAAACCAAACCAACTTCTGATGTTTATTCACACAAGGGAAATGGAGATGATCCACAATAGCTTTCTGCCCTTGCCAAGAGAGACCTCCTGAACGTTCAGAGACGTAGCAAGTATGTGCCATATGATATTTTATTAATATACATCTTTATATTGTATATAATATATACATATGTATTACCGATATACCTTTTTTTTTTTTTTACCAAGAATTGATAGTTTATAAGAGTGGGAGAGAGTGGTATATTATTCAAAGATCTTTTCTGAGAAACTACACTCAGTCACTTTTGTATTAATTTCCTCAATGAAATTTATTGTAAGAGTGAGGATGCTAAGTGGCTCATTTACTCTATGACCAGAGTCATGTTGCTGTAACCTCCCTACACAACAGCTTTCATATCTTTAAACTGGAGATGACAGTGGTACCTACTGGAGACCTAAGATATGGAATCATAGGTTGTTGCTTGTGAGTCCCTCATGCAAGTGCTGGATACGTAAAAAATATTGAAAGCTTATTAACTTTTAATGGCTGCCTGTTGATTCCACCGTGTCCTTCCTCAAAATTGTAATGTGTGGGCCCTAGGATGAACTAATTAAATCACACGAGAGAAATATTTATAGTTTAACAAAAAATAACTAGCAATCTCACAATAGATATAGTTCTATTTGTGTACGTAATGTATGTACAAATGTAGTTCTCTACGTTCTCGTTCTCTGAAACGGCATTTTTATATAGACCATAGACATAAAGCTGCAATGAGGAATAGTCTCTGGTGAATATCTTGCTGAGAGAGGCCCAATTAGCAGAGTTTGGGAGACATAAATGGATAGACACATGGGAACTGCTGGATTTTTAAGAGTCCCAGGAGGATCTCTGGGTAATTTATTGAAGTCAGAGTCCTTAGCACACTAAAATAACCAGAGAGCTCAATATTCAAAAACAGTATTTTTCTTATCCATCTAAATTAAGTGCTGCTAAGTAATAGTGTGGATTTACAATATTCTATTGTCAAAAAGCAATTTTACAACTAGGTGGACACGGTGTTCCCTGCCTTGTGAAAGTGTTTATCAGGAGAGAATAAACATGGACATTCTGAAATTCACGCACATTAATTTTCCAAACATCCAAGGCTCCTGCCAGCCAGTTTCCAACACTGACTTACAGAATGCTCTCACATTTTTCTAGGGAAGTAAAAAGTGTTCCCAGAATCTTTTCCTCACTCTCGCTTTGCATGTGTTGCCCAAGTCATATCCTGGCTGTTTCTCTGGCTTAAAATGGGAGCCGTTTCATAAGTCCAACAACAGCAACAAAAAAATAAGTTCAAAGGAATTATTTGGCAAAGCAAAACTCTTTGCAGAAAACCTGTTGCAAACCATATAATATAACACTTATTTATTGACTTTGTTTTCCTTTATTTAATGTAAAATATTATTGATTAAGCAAAACACCTACTGACCAACAACTGTCTGCTGGTTACAATATTGAATTTGTTTATCAAGATATCACATGTAAATTAAAAATGTGTTCTGACCACATCAAAGGTAAAGGAAGCAAAGAAGGAATGACTCATATTCTGTTTCTGAGATGAATGACTACTTGTTTGAGGAGGACAGCAAGTTCTCTTCTGAGACAAGACACATAAACAGGATATAGCACTTTTTCCTCCCCCTCAAGAAATATTGGCTTAGTGAAACAGCGATGATTTTCAAAAGGCTGACTCATCTTTGAAAATCATTGGCCTCATTAAAGTTTAATAATTATCTGTTCCTAAAGTAACATTGCTTATAGTGTAGTGTCTGTTCTGATGTCTGTTTGAAGTTAAACATGTTTTCTGGCTCCATCATATCTGTTTAAATAAAAAGTAAGCATGTTTATGTTTTTATCAGTGTATAGTTTTATATGTAATGACATTTTTGTGCTCAAATACATATGATTGTATTTCCCAATATTTTTTAATTTGATATCATAAAGATACTGTATATTGTTCAATAACTTAAAGATATTTGAAAGAGTTTCTGTAATCCTAGAGTAACACATTCATGGCATTTATTTTGTAGTAGAAAGGAGTGCAAATATCTTGTAGATAATATGTTATTGTTCTGTAATACAAGTTGTTCTTGTGATAGGTAAATGATATCCACTCTCTTTAAGTGAGGAAACTTAAGGGTTCATAAAAATAATCTGGCATTATGTAACAGAAATGTGGAAAGCAGAATTTGCAATTTGTTGAGGGTGTGTCTAGCCTAGATTCTGAGGTCTTGACCTTTAACTACATTGACACTCAAAACATTGGATAGTTACAGTTTTGCATATTATGAAAACACAAGAATTGATAAAGTGCATATACTATTAATTTTTAAATGTAAGGAGAGATACATAAATCATCCTTTTTAATTTAGAAAGCTGTAATTGGATTGAAGAAAGCATAATAAATTTTCCCAGAGGGTTTACATATTGAGTGGCTTGGTTTGTGATTCTGAATAATTTCATGGGGAATAAATACTTTAGAACAGATCCAAGTAGAGAAACACTAGGCCAGAGATTAGAAACTGTTACTATGAATTAAATCTGGGAGGGTTTTTTTTTTGTCATCTGATCATTAAAAAAAGCATAAATCTAACCAACCTATCACAAAAGCAGTATCATCAACGACAGTCCCTGTGGGAAGCTGACGTAAATAAGTGACAAATCTGCACAAAACCCACATTTGTTATACAGGTCATATTCCCAAACATGTTAAAATAGAAGTTCCGATGAATGGAATTTTTAACAAGCACCAGTTGACATAAGTTACTTTTTTGTTTAAATATTATCTGTCAGTGGTTATTATAATAACCATTGTTTCACATTCATTGTTTTTAGCTTGGTTTAGTTGGTATTATTGTTTTCCTATAAAGAAGGAAAATGAGGATTTCTAGAAATAAAGAGTCTTGTCTCCACTCACAGCTAGTAGCCAGCACAGCCCAGATGAGGGCTGGAAGATGAATTCACTTTTACTGGGCCTCTTGCCTCCCCCACATCTCTTGCTGAGCATAGCAAGACTAAGAGACCCACCAGGATTTTACCTGTACCACGCCTAAGGATTGAATGCTCTGCTAGCATTCTGACATGGAATTACATCATTCACTTGGAAAAAGAGAAGGCTTGTATGCAATTTTCTCTAAAAATAGTGTGTTCCCCAAGCTCTGTTTTCCAGAGTCATCACACGACTGGCTGTACATTTTTATTCATCTAAACGCATTGCATTGGTCCAGGGAGACTTGAGAGATAGGAGAAGGATTCTTGCTGCTTGCTTTCCCTTAATAATAAATTCCATTATTTCCGAGTCAGAAATTTTGTGTTTTCAGCAACCATAAAACAGTGGTAGCAGTCTTATAAAACTTTATAAGAAGGATAAAGAGAAAATTTGAAACTTAATCTTGAGGCAAATGTCTGACTCCAAACCCTTCATCCAAAAAGCAATTTAATGAAATGTTTTTAATTTTAAATAGTTCTGTAAATCATCTGATAAAATACACACACACATACACACAGTCACACTAAGGCTGCAGAGTTAGCTCAGTGGTTAAAAGCACTTGCTGCTCTTTCAGAGGACCTGGGTTTGGTTTGCAGTACCTACATGGATGGTACTTTGTAGCTATCCATAACTCCAGGGATCTGACACATCCTTCTGACTTCTGCAGGCTCCTGGTACAATGTGATCTATGCACATATATACAGGCCAAATAGTTATACATGCAAAATGAATAAATCTAAAAATATTTTTCTTTAAACTCACATCATTTTCACCCATTCTTTTCTCAGTTCTACTTCCTCACTGTTAGACTTTTCTCAGCTATTTTTCTATTATTTATATTAATATGTCCATGTTAATATAAAATGACTATATGTGTCATTTAATAGTTGAAATTGTCTGTTTATCCTATAGGGAAAATGTAAGATTAAAAAACCCCTCATAATATAGTCTGTACATACTTAACTTCCCACCAATCCCCAAACTTGTTTGTAGTTAGACAAATATCACACAATTACATGCTAGGAGTCTGTGATTAATGTTTGTGTTACGATTGGTAATTTTCATAATTACTGTTCTTGCATAGTGTTTTCATTTTTTTCTTGGATTAATAAGTGTCTTATGTTAACCATCTTCATAGTTTTATATTCTTACTGTTGCTTCAAAGTCTATCCTGTCTCACTGATGCCAAATCATTCTTAGTGGTTGAACACAGCAGAGTATCTGTATGTACTGTGTCAATGGAAAAATCTCCATTTTTTTTTTCTGTTCTGCCTTTCAACTCAGGTTTTGATTTCTGTATTGATGTTCAGATCTTTGTATCCTTCTGTCATCTGAGTGTGTGTGTGTGTGTGTCTGTGTTGTGCATTGATTCGTCTTACTTAGAAGAGTCCTCTATCTTCCCTAATTTTTCCCACTGCTTGTTCTTATAATGTATTAATGTCTTTATTCTTTCATTTCTGGAAGAATTATTTTATACATGACAAGAAAAACAATCTTTGGAAGAGTATGAGTGAGGAAATCAGGATAGGATGCTCACTTATGTTTCTAAAAGTTTAAACTTCTTTGTTTCTCTTCATTTCTTTATCTTAGTTATTGGCTATCTT